TAAAAGGCGTAAAGCTTACAGTGATTTGTACGATAATTTCGGTTTTCTTGTTCACAATAATTTGTCAGAATCTGAGATTAAACTAAAAGCGCAAAATTTGGTGAAAATTTACTCATCCGATTTAGAGGAAAACTTTGTAGATGAATTTTTACTATTTTCAAATTTGTATGAACATAAATCTGCACAAGAAATGTTGAAGGCTCAAATTAAAGATAAACTTGTGAATACTTTTCCTAACGTTCACATTGCATTAAGAATATATTTGTCGATTCTTGGATCAAATGCAGAAGGAGAAAGATCTTTCTCCAGATTAAAATTGATAAAAAATTATTTGCTTTCAACAATGAATCAAGATCGTTTGGCATCGCTTGCACTTACGTCTATCCAATCAGACATTTTGCGTAGTTTGGAATTCGACAGCATAATACAAGATTTCGTTGAATCCAAAAATCGCAAAAAAAGTAATATATTAGATCATAAGATTCTGCAAAATAATTTATTACCGTAAAATATTATATTTTTAGTTGAATCTTCATAATTTTGTGCAAAATACACTTGTTGTTTTTAAAGCTAAACTATTTTTGATAACAAATTTTTTTCTCCCAAGTTTTTCGTAGGCCCCTGAATTTCGTAGGCCCGTGCCTAGTGTGCCTATAGGTTAATCCGGCCCTGCATACTCGTATATATATATATATATATAACCATTTTTTTATAACACATAGTAATGTATATTTACAATATTAAAATTTATGAAATAATTAAGCAGCTATTACTATATTAGAATATAATTCAGAATAACTTAATTAAGACAAACCTTTATTCAGAGAGGTTTGACCTACAGTAATGGGCAATTAACCCACTCACTACGAAAAACCATATTAAAATGAAATGGTGATTAAAAAATTAGTTCTTAATTAATTGTTCACTTCACAATGATAATAACTAAACATCGTATTAACTAAATTCGATAAAATTAACTAAAAATGGTTTTGATAAACACAAAATTCAAAGTGTTTTTAAAGTTTAGGGTAAGGGGATTGTTTCTAAAACAAAAAAGTTTATTCACCATAAGAATGTCACTTTTCCTTTTATTGATATTCCGTGAATTACAGTCGTCATCTTCTATTTTTCTATTTTGGGACTTTCTTCCAGGAACCAAGAATTGATACTTTCTTCGTAAAATAACTTCCAAATAGCGAAGCGAATTTTCTATTGAACGAACTTTTTTTTTAAGATTCACTTTACCTATTTCCCAATATATTTTGGAACATTTGAAACTTGTTAACGCATTTTATGGCGGAAATGACCTATAATTGATTTTCGCAGCCACTTAACTTTTAGAGAAAGCTGTAAAATCCATTTTTGTTTCCATTTCATACACGAATCCATGACAAAAATCAGTTAACGAGGAATCATAACAGATATTTCTAAAGCGTGGAACCATGATGTTACAGATTGTATTATTCATAACAGTTTTGTTAAAGCTGGATTCTTAGTCAGCGCGGAGAATTTGAAAAGTGCGGAAGACGAGAATGACAAACCTTTGGAAGAACTTTTAAAAAATGTGGGTACAGCTAAGAGAGGACCACGAAATTAACGATGATGTACTGATTAATGATTTTTCTTTTAATTGATTCTGAAGCTGCAAGCACAGAAACATAAATTGAACTGGATATTTTGAAAAGTGTGAAAAATAGAAACAATGCCGGAACAAATTGTGAGGAAAACGAAAATGATGAAGAAATATTAAAATCATTTGAAACAATGCTATAATAATGTAATAATTTACAAGATAAAGGTGTATTGATTGCTATTTTAATTATATCGAATGTTTGTGAATTTAAAACCTGTTTTGTGTTTCGTAAGTATTTCAAATGGTGATTTTCTATTTAACGAATTTCCCGTATAACGAACTTTTTATCGGGATTTAGAAACTTCGTTAAATAGAGGTCCGACTGTTTTTAAAAAGACTGTTACATAACTTTCTAATACTCCATAAAATTTTACGTAGCAAATTATTAGACACACTAGCATTTTTGTTTGCTGTATGGGAACACCCTGTAGAATTCATGGGAATTTTACATCCAAATTTCTGCGAAAGAAATCAACAGCTAATCTCATTAGCCTTATCATACGAGACTGCCTGTTGATTTCCTTCATCATATGAAATGACTCTTAGGAGTCCAGAAAGCATGTAACCTTACGTCCGATTTTTTTTTCTTATTGTCACGGAAATGTTTGTACTGAAAACCTTTTTTTCAATATTGCAAAACTATTGCAGTTTCATACCTGTCATCCAAAAAGGAATAAAAACTATTTTTTTAAAAAAGCATTGTCACTTAGGTCCTTCATGACTAAGGCCCGGATTTTGATGACATTTGCATTTTTTTTGCATTTTTGGACATTTTTTGTCCCTTAGAGCATTTTTTGAGATTTATAGGGCATTTTCTTTAATTTTTGGGGCGTATTCTGCATTTTAAAGCATTTTTTAAATTTTTTGTTAATTTTTTGTAATTTTTATTATTTTTTTATAATTTTTTATTATTGCACTGGTTTCCAAACAATAAAGAAAATCTCTAGGATATTAAAAGGTGAAGCAACATCTTTTCAAATTGAAGAAGAATTGTCAGTAAGTGTGACCGTCCTTTTCAAGTACGCACCAATAACATCAGTAGACGTTGAAAGAAGCTTCTGCAGGAATGAAAATTTGTTTTCAGTTATTGCATAA